CCAGATGATTTTTATTATGTCCTGATACATAAAACCATAGAACTCAAAGAGGGTGCACTTTTTCACACAACTGTACATCTAATTATATTAATCCATGCACAACATTTTTGCAATCTAATGTTCTGTGTCAAGAACCTGGAATCAATATTGGGAAACTAAAATGGAAGCCATGCATTTACTGCTGCTTCAGTGTCCACCTTACCAGAAGCTGGACATCGAAGTCTGGAGCCAACCCTGTCTGGCTTTTAATGTTCTTTTCTGTAGCTCCAAGACCCATGCCAGTGATCAATATTGGTTGAAATGAAGTAACTTATGGTTACTTCCATCCAATGAACTATATCCTGATGCTCACTTCCTCTGGGTGTCTGCTCTGTGTTGTGTTTGAGATTATGGAAAATCTGCTCTAATTATGGTGGTGGAAGATAATAATGCTCATAAATCTCTCTTAGCTATCAAGGAATCCTGAAGACTCTCAATGAGGCAGATGACCTGTTTGGACTTTATAGTGTTTTCTGATGATGTGGTTATATTTCTGGGCATACCTCTTTTCTTTTTCTCTCTGTGGTCTGCATACATTTAAGCAGGAATATGCAACAACGATATCAGTCACAGCATCAATAAAGTGTTGCATTCTTGTCTTGGATAAAATATAGTTTGTTCTTTCTTTTGCATGGATTTAATAAAGCCCTCAGAGATGCAATGGTTATGTAAATGGGTGAGCTGCATCATTTCTACAATGCATTAATGATCATATGGGTCCAATTCAAATCACATTAAATTTCACCACATATCTCCTTTTTAAAAAATGTAGGGAAATATTTACATTTGTAGAAAAGGACTTCTAAGTCTGTAGGACAAGGTACCTGGAGTTGTCATATCTTTGATTACAACTCCAACAAACCACAAACAATATAGAGAAAGACTAGTGATTAAGGGAGATGTAGTTCAAAATATCTGGGAAAGCATTAACTTACCTTCCCATATTTTTCCTCCAGCAGCAACTTAAGGAGATCCAGAGGGCAAATCCTATGTTTATGATAGATGTGTTGAGTTTACATGTTATACTAAACATAATTTGATTGCCTTGGATTTGAAAAATGGCATGCACTGTATGAAGAAGCCATTGTGATTGGGAAACCATTGTTTTGTGGAGTATCAGAACATATGATGCAAACCACTTGTGTTAAAATCTATGGGTAAAACAGATTTATTTAACAAAAGGAGAAATTCACCAACACCTTTAGTTATGACAAGTAGGACAGTTTCTGAAAAGGTCCAATGACTTTTTTGAGTAGCTGTGTAGATTTTTTTAATCTTTTAGTTTCTGAATACTGAAGATAGTTTGCTCACCAAGTAACACTCATTGCGGGTCAGATTTCTCTAGTAGTTTCCATTACAGAGTATATCTCACTCATGTTTTGGTTTTATTCTTATGCTTATTCGATTTTTTTTTTTAAAACATCTTCCATGTAAATTGCATCACCTTGGCTATTTCTCTTCCCCTACCCCCAATTATTTGTGCCAGTTACCTTTAATCTTCCTGCATAAATGGGTCCCACAGGTGATTAAAGCTCTTTCAACTGTTGGACACCCTTCCTAAAGTGCCAAGACATAGTCATGCAAAAAGATCTCCATCTCCTTCTGTTCCTCCTTCAATGGGAATTATTTGTTTGTTTAACCGCTGATATCACAGCATTTGGTTCAACTGATATGGTTAGAACAAGGCAAAGGGCATTACACCTAATCAAGTCAGACCACTGGTTCATGGAGCCCAACATGGTGAAAAGTGCTCAGCACCTATGCTCCATGGGATTGGCAAGAACTTTTCCTAGTTTCATCTGGGAATCCTGGAGAACTATGGACTTCCTGCATTTAAAACATGCACTCTAACCACAAAGCTATACAGGACTGTGCTGCAGCTTCTTATGATCTTTTCTCCATGGAAAGATTCCTCAAGATGCCAAGAGACTTATGAAGAATACATAGGGTCCCCCTTTCCAGAATTTCTTTTTTTTTTTCCCATCTAGGGCAGAGGTTTCTCCTTTCTTTTGCATTGATAACTAATTTAACATACCATAATTGAAATTTCATTGACAAAAACCTGACATAAGCAACATTTCTTTCCTTCCTTTCTTTCCTTTGTCCTCCTCTTCACATTGCTAAGTTCTTTCCCCATATCATAGAATGATCCTTGGACATTGTGGAAGAAATACAAGGGTGAATTGGCTGCAACAGGATAATCAGGTTAAATGCTGGAGCTGTCACTGTTTGCATGGAGGTTGGGGTGGAGTCTCACTGATCATGAGCCTAGACCCCTGAGAACCTTTTAGAAAGTTTCTGCTCTCCCTGGGGAAAATGGATGAAATTGTTTATTCAATATCTGTGCCCATCAATAGGCTAGAAACAAGGGCTGATTTGCATGTACCTGTTGGGCTTGTTATAGATGATGAAGATGATTACGATTGCTGTTCTTCTATGTAATTCAGAAAAATTAATAATAGCAAATAATTCACTTCCCTGGATGATTTCTTTTTCTTCCATGCATTGTCTAGAACCAGCCTTCTGAATTTCAGCATGTTTGCTTTGGAAGTTGAAAGCTTATTCCTTAGGTTTTGCATGGAAGTGCTCAGTTCTCTAACAGTACCAGATATATATAATAGACATTCACTGCCTTTGGTTGGGATTGATGGAAAACTCCTATATGGTGTGACATCCTCTTTTTTGCTTTTGCAGGAACTGACACCAGTGAAACTCTCCCTGAATCTGTCCCCTCTGCTCCCGGGACACTACCCCATTTCATGCAAGAGCCTGATGACGCATATATCATTAAAAGCAACCCAATTGTGCTGCGCTGCAGAGCCATGCCAGCAATGCAGATCTTCTTTAAATGCAATGGGGAGTGGGTTCATCAAAATGAGCACGTCTCTGAGGAGAGCATGGACAAAAGCACAGGTAAGTGACGACCCAATCTTTTCTGGACCCATGCGTACATTTGGGATTTTGAGAGCATGGTATGGGCATTCTTATAAAATGGCTTGCCCATTCACAACATGGCTGCCACAAAGGACGTAACTAAGCACAAAGGATTGATATATCGAAAAGCAACATTTTTCATTTTTTTCATTTTTATTTTTTTAGTAAAATATCTGGTAGGGCCAGGGCTCTGGCAACTGTCAAGAAGTGTTCCTAGGGGCTCTGAATCACAAAGGTTCCATGTTAGAGACTTCAGCCCTATACTCACTAACTCACGAGTGTATTAAAATTGCAGATAAATGGTGAAAATAGATGCCTTTGGATCATATTCTGGAGCCTTGGTGAATATCTTGGCTTGTTTGCTTGTTCTGTGCTCCATGTTAGCTAGGGAAAATGTCATGAAAGGTTACATCAACTTCTGACTCCCCAGGAGGCATTTGGCAGTTACGAAGTTATATGAAGAAATATTGTTTTGCAGTAAAATCCTACCTGCAAAGAGAGGGATTCTAAGGCAGTAAGGTGGATGAGTGGGAAACTCTGAGAAATGCAACACATTTTTCCTATCTCCCAGCAAATCCTATATCCTTGCTTGTTTAGAAACGTCTTGATAAGTATTGCAAACCAATTTAATGGTGGTGCTGCCTTATAATTTCAAATTCTGTGTCATTATGACTCCCCCACTCCTCTACTTTAACTTCCAAGATTGCTAAGCAACCCTGTGTTTTGGAAATAAGACATTTTATAAAGCCGGTGAGGTGGGATGGGGAAAGCAGGTGCATTTAGAAAGTGTCACATTCTAGTAGGTGTTAGTCATACACATCGCTGTTGTTATTGATTGTGTTATTGGTCACGGCATTCCACAGTTTGCTTTCAAAGTAAGCACATTATATATTATCTATAAAACATGACTCAAAAGAACATGCAAAAATATTCATTTAATCATGACTTTCAGAACAAAAGGAACAAGGCTCTGTTCTTTAATTATCTGCATTTAAATTACCAGTACAGGTATTTCAGCTCACGGGCATCTAATCTTTGGAACAGATGAATTAAACTCACTTGTTCTAACAACTGATGCTGTGTAGTTCCTTTCTTGTCATGAGCTGTTTGATGCTCCTTCTCATTTTAATTTTATGATATTGAGATACAGGTTGTAAAGCAGGAAAGAGAAGGACATTCATCCTTATCAGACATAGTGGTTCAGCATTTCCCTACAGGCTGCAGTGCCTGAAATTTTTCAGGCTGTTTCTTTTTGTAATATAGAAAATATAGATCAAGGCTCACCCCTAGGCACCTGGAAACATGGCAGCTGCTAACACATCTAACAGGACCCAATATACTATAGATACTAGTGTGCTGGGTTTATTTTAGCAATAAATGTTATTGATTAGTCATCTGACCATATCAAAAAGCTATAAAACCAATACAGAGAAAACAGTAGGGCATATTTATACTAAATCATCACCCCTGCAGTCCACTCCAGTCCAGTCTAGATAATCTAGAGTTGAGAAGGCTTCCTGATTTGATGGCTGTTATCCATTTTGGACACTGATGGAGTACATTGTGGGGATAAAAACGTGTGAATTTTTCTTTCTTCTGGTTGGGTAGATTTTTGGTCCAGAGAGGAAAAAATAGCAATAGACCCCTTAGGGGCAGAATTCAGAGGGAAAAAGGGTTTCAGAGTGTGTATGGTGCTGCAGGTCACACTTGGTGATAACTCCTCAAAGAATCTTTTTTTTTTTCCCCCCTGGATTTAGGCAACAGCATCATGCATTCTTAAGAAAAGTTATCTTGAATTTAAAGAGATTGCCACAGTTGTAGCATGTGCTCCTGCACATAGCCCAAATCACCTTTTCTCCTTCGAATCAGGACTACAACACAAAGCATATTGGGTCAGCAGTGTGTGCGTGAGAAAGTATGAGCGTATATGCATAGTTTATGGGGGTGGGAAACATTTTTTTTACTGGATTCTTGCCCAGAACTCCCCAATTCTGTTGAAAATAAAGCAATAAATAGTAAAATAAATAAAAAGAGGGAATGGTATTCTGTTTCTTCTCCCCAAGGATCCAGTGCTATGTTTGCGGTGATGTGGGCAGAAGGGCAAATTGTTATCAGAGGC